TATAGGAGTCAGGTCCCTGTATAGGCTTCTGAGCTCAAAGGCAGTAATGACTGAAGGGTTGTGACAATTTTCAACTTATTGAATATTTTCAACAATTTTCAAAATGGGGATACAGTGGAAATAGGTTGTGAAGTAATAACCTGGAAGAAATAAGGGGTCAGGCAAGTGAGATCATCACATCAAGACTTCCTCTCCAAGGCACATGCACTCCTGAGTTGGAACAATATCACTGATTGTTCACTGTCACTAGGTCAAAATCCTGGAACTCGCTCCCTAACAGCACTGTGGGTGAATCTACAGTGCAAGCTCTGCAGTGGTTCAAGATGGTATTTCACCACTACTTTCTCAAGTGTAAATCGTCATGAGCAATAAATTCTGGCCTAGCCAATGTTGTTCAATCCCACAAATTAATTTTTTTAAAACACAGTCCTTCTTCAATGGAATTTGTGTTCATCTGTCCTTCAGTAAAACTTTTATATATTTGTCTTACTTTGTTAACAAATTTTTCTGGCTCTTCTCTTCAGGAGTGTGGAGAGCTGATTGACTGTGTTCAGGAGCTTAATCAGTCGGTGAATAAACTCTTCAGCCTGGCCAGTGGGGCAGTGGACAGATGTGTGAAATTAACGGATGGACTTGCAGCTTGTGGCCTACTCAAAGCACTGAAAGCTCTCTTCTCGAAGTTAGTCCACTTTCTGTTATCCAGTAGCTGTGCTGCCTGGTGGCTGTACATTGGTGGTTAAACAGTCTGTCACTCTAGAATTCGTAGAAAAACAAAATTGTAATAGGGTTGCCCAACCTATAGCCAGCAGGTCGCATATGACCCACCCAGAGCATTTCATACAGTTTGATTCTGGTTTACTGATAGGCAAAGTTTCATAAGGCTCCCATAATTACTAATTACATAACCTTATATGGGAAGGATCATAGACCAGGAAAAAAAATACCATTGTAAGGTAAAATTTATTCTTTTTAAATATTTTTTGTTTTATTTACATTTATTTGAAGCTAGAGTTTCAGGCCAGCCCTGAAAAGTGGCCTTCCCCAAGCAAAAAGATCGTCAACCTCTGCGTTAGGAAATATCATCATCTAATGCAGTCAAACAGATCATAGTCAATGTTGATCATTTAAATTTATCTCATTGCTCTGTAGGACAGTTTATTCTGGCTGAAATTACAATGTAAAGTATTACAGTTTAATTTTCACAGAAGAAGGATACTGGTATTAGGTTTTGGACTATACTTTTGATGGGGTAAGCTGGTTTACATTTTAATTCCTTGTCCCAGATACGTATCTAACTTCGCCAGCACTTTGCAGTCCATTCGCAAGAAATGCAAACTGGAAGAAATTTCCAATGGATCCTTGTTCCAGGAAGACTGGTCTGCATTCCAAAATTCCGTCAGGTAAAGAGGTAGTGAGTGAATGCAGAACTGAATACTCCTGTCATATGCCCACATCCATTACTGATAGATGTGCTGATATGTGCCTCTCCTCCATCCAGATTGACAATCTAATGTATTGTTTTAATAAAAGCAAGATACTGCAGATGCAAAAACCTAAAATGAAAACAGAAAATGCTGGAGAAACTCTGCAAGTCTGACAGTATCTATAGAGAGGGAAACAGAGTTAACCTTCCAAGTCCAACATGATTCTTCAGAACTGAAGGGGACATCCGTTTTAGATGGGTTGTTGTTGAATTCTATTATAGTATTATAATTGCCCATTGTGATAATTATTTTCTTTTTGCTGGGAGTTGCGATGATAAACTACCTGAGAACAGGCTTGACGTTCAGTGAGGACAGGTTGATGGTTCCTACATCAAAGGGAGGAGGATGCTGTGGTTAATGGTTCTGGAATGTGTGTTGAGAGAGCATTATTAATACCAAATCGCAAAAGGCATGATTAGGGCAGTCGTGCAAGGGTTTGATCAAAGAGCTAGTTTTTGAGGAGCATTTGATAAAAGGAGAGAAAATTAGAGAATTGGAGAGAGGAGGTAATTACAGAGTTCAGAATTTAGGCAGCTAAAGGCACAGCCAACAATGGTGGAGAAATTAAAATTCAGTACTGGAGATCAGAATTGATTAAGTGCAGATATCTGGGAAGATTGTAAAGGTTGAACAGTGGAGAAGATTACAGAGATAGGGAGCAAAAAGGCCATTGAGAGAATTGGAAACACAGGTGAGAGTTTTAAAAATAGTGTTGATTTGCCTGGAGCAAATGTAGGTCAGCACGAACATGGTGCTGCACAGGCTGCACACTTTTAGATGATAAGAAATCTATTGAGATTAGAATGTACAAGGCTCGTGAGGAATGCATTTGAATAATCTAGTGTGAAGGTAACAAAAGGTATAGATGCGGTTTTCAGCAGCATATAAACTGAAGTGGTGGTGATGTTACTGATGATGAGATAGGTGAAGAGTTGATTATACGCTCTGTGTTTCCCTAGCCTTTATTCTTCTAATCAAAGTTCTGAATTTGTTATGGCGACTGTTAATTTAGCTTTCATTGCTGTGTTTTATTTTCAGAATTATCGCAACCTGCGGTGAATTATTGCGGCAGTGTGGAGACTACGAGCAGCAGCTGTCCAACAGGTTAGCTCCAGGAAACGCAAGTACTTCCATTAGAGCCTAATGAGGATTTGATAACAAAATAGGGCAATGGTAAGGATGGAAAAGGAAGCCTTAGAGTTTAGCTATTTGGAGTGAGGGTTTAGATGGGTGTGCCGAACATTCATCCAATAGGATTGGCTTGTAGAATAGATAGGGGAGAACCAATGGATGTGGTGCAGTTGGATTTTCAAGAAGTTTTTGATAAGATCCTACTAAGAAATTATTGAGCCATATCAAAGCGCATGGGATTGGTGGTTATATTGGGAATTGGTTAGTAGGCAGGAAACAAATGAATAGAAATAAAAATGTCATTTTCAGCGTAGAACACGCTCAAGACTGAGCACCCATGAAATGCTGTGGACCATCAACAGCAGCAGAATTATTACTCCATAACCTGCAACCTCATGGTTCAGCATATTCCCTACTCAACCATTACCATCAAGCCAGGAGATCAACCCTGGTTCAATGGAGAATGCAGGAGAGCTTGTCAGGAACAGAACCAGGTATACTTACAAATGAGGTGGCAACCTGGTGAAGCTGCCAAACTGCACGAGCAGCAAGTGATAAACTGAGCTAAGTGATCCCACAACCGAAGGATCAGATCTAAATTCTGTAGTCCCGTCACGCCCAGTACTGAATGGTGGTGGACAATTAAACAATTCACTGGAGGAGGGTCCACAAATATCCCCATCCCCAATGATGGAAGAGCCCAACGCATCAGTGCAAAAGATAAGGCTGAAGCATTCGCAGTAGTCCTCAGCCAGAAGTGCCGAGTAGATGATCCATCTTGGCCTCCTCCATTGGTCCCCAGCATCACACATTCACTTCACATGATATCAAGAAGTGGTTGGAGACACTGGATTCTGCAAAAGGTAGGACCCTGACAACAATCCAGCAATAGTACTGAAGACTTGTGCTCCAAAACTTGCCACTCCATTAGCCAAGCTCTCCAGTACAGTTACAACACTGGTATCTGCCCGACAATGTGGAAGATTGCCCAGGTATGTCCTGTACACAAAAAGCAGGACAAATCCAACCCGCCAATTACCACCCATCAGTCTACTCTCAATCATTACTAAAGCGATGGAAGGTGATATCAACAGGGCTATCAAGCAGCACCAGCTCAGTGACGCCAGATTTGTGTCCTGCCAGGGCCACTAAGCTCCTGACCTCATTACAGCCTTGGTTCAAACATGGACAAAAGAGCTGAATTTCAGGGGTGAAGTGATAGTGACTACCCTTGATATCAAGGCCACATTCAACCAAGAGTTGTGATTGTTAGAAGTTAGGCATCTCAGCTACAGAACATCTCTGCAGGAGTTCCTCAGGATAGTGTCCTAGGCACAACCATCTTTAGCTGCTTCATCAATGACCTTCCCTCCATCATAAGGTCAGGAGTGGAGATTTTCACTGATCTTTGCATGATGTTCAGTGCCATTCATGACTTCTCAGATACTGAAGCAATCCATGTTCAAATGCGACAAGATCTGGACAATTTCAAGATAAGTAGGTTATGATAGAGCTGTATATAATGTTAGTTAGGCCACAGCTGGTATTTGAGTGCCATTCTGGTTGCCACACTGTAGGAAGGTGATTCTAGAAAAGATTCACCAGGATGTTGCCTGGGTATTAGCGATTCAACTATGAAAAGAGACTAGATAGGCTGAAGTTTTCCTTAGGGATGAGAAGGCTGAGGGATGTAGAGTAGATAGGGAGAAACTTTTTCCCTCAGTTGATGGGCAGCAACTAGGAGGCAAAGTTTTAAGATAAGGAGGAAGAGGCTTAGAGGATATTTGAGGAAAAACATTTTACTTATTGTTGTGGTTATCTGGATACTACTGCCTAAATGTGTGATCGAGCTGGAAACACTCAAGACATTTAAGAACCATTTGCATGAACACTCTGGAATGGGCTACCAGAGGTAGTGAGTACAATTTCGTCATTTAAAAAACATTTAGACAGGTAAATGGATGGGATAGGTATAGAGGGATATGGACCAAACGCTGGAAAATGGGACTAGTTTAAATTGTGAAAACTGGGTGGAATGGGCAAGTTGGGCCAAAGAGCCTGTTTCCATGCTTCCATGATTCTACAGCTCGAAATGCTATGGTGTACAAGGTTATGGGCTAAATGCTGGAAAATGTGATTAGAATAGATGATGTGCATCAACACGGTGGGCCAAAGGTACTTTTTTGTGTTATAAAAACTATATAACTGTGAAATAATTTACTCCGGCAGAAAAACTGAAGAACAGAGTATTTCTTAAATGGTGAGAGATTGGGAAGTATTTCTTTCCAAAGGTATCTGGGCACCCTTGTGAGTCACTAAAACCTGGCATGAAGGTGCACAAAGCAATTAGGAAGGCCTTAGCAAATGGCTTAGAATACAGGAATAACAATGCCTTGCTGCACTTATATAGAGCCTTGGCGAGAATCCATCTTGAAGTATCATACACGGTTTGGTCTCCTTGTAAAGGAAGGATATACTTGTCATAGAGAGAATACAACAGAGGTTTACTAGGCTAATCTAAAATTCTATGATTCTATCCCAGGGAGGGTTGGATTGTTTTAAGATGAGCGATTGAGGAAACTGGTCTTATATTAGAGTCATAGTGTTTACAGCACTGTAACAGACCCTCCGGTCCAACTCATCCATGCTGACCAGATATCCTAAATTAATCTAGTCCCGTTTGCCAGCATTTGGCCCATATCCATCTAAACCTTTCCTAATCATGTGCCCATCCAGATGCCTTTTAAGTGTTGTAATTGCACCCACCTCCACCACTTCTTCTGGCAACTCATTTTATACACGCACCACCCTCTGTGTGAAAACATTGTCCCTTAGGTCCCTCTTATATCTTCCCCCTCTCACCCTAAACCTATGCCCTCTAGTTTTGGACTCCCCTACCCTGGGGAATAAAAAAAGCCTTGGCTATTCACTCAATCCATGCCCCCATGATTTTATAAACCTCTGTAAACCCCAACCTCCGACACTCCAGGGAAAAATAGCCCCTTCAAGGTTTCAAAGAATTAGAAGTGGATGCAGATAGGATGTTTCTCTTGGCTGGTGAGTTCAAAGCCAGTGGACATTGTTTCAGGATAAGCAGTAGACCATTTAAAATGGAGATGAGGAAGTGTTGTTCACTCAAGGGGATGAATCTTTGAAATTTTAAACCTCAGGAGGCTGTGGCAGTTAATTGTTTAAGACAGAAAACAGTAGATTTCTGGATACTAATGAGGGTTATGGGGTAATGCTGGAAAATGGCAATGGGGTAGATGATCAGCCATGACCTGTTGAATGGTGAAGCAAGCTCAACAGGCTTTACTACTACTTTCATTTTCTAATGTTCATGACAGGGACAATACTTTTGAAGCTGGTAGGGGGTTAAGAGCTCATAATTAAATACAGTCATTCCAGGAACTAATTTTTAAGTCATGATGTACTTCTGTTTGCCAAATTTCTCCCATTCCTTTAGAGAATTAACTCCATGTTGGATTACTGTTTCTCAGGGTCTGGCCCCTTCTTGTAACTCTCAAGTGACTTATGTAAGGGTAAAACAGTGCCCATGTCTGTTTAGCCACAGGGTATCACAGTTGGTTGATATTCCTTCATCCAATCATCTGAGACCATCCAACACTCTGCTTCCTAATTTATAGCGGTTGGCTATTCACTGCATTAACAGCTTGAGATAACTGAAAAGTCTCCTTAGTACTATTTAGGATAAACACCCAAGAATGTGAGTAGGGCTGTTGGATGGGTCAGAAGGTCCAGGCTCGGGTCTCACCTGTCCCAGATACGTGTCTAACGTTTGAACAATTTGATTAAAAATACCTTCACAGAATTCGAGGGTCTCATGCCGACAGTGCCTGCCCTCTTTTCAGCGCATGCATAGGCCTTTCTACCCAAGCTTGTCTCTTCAATTGAAAGTAGTGATAGGGTGATTCCATGGACAACAACCTTAAGCCAATCACAGGCATGAATTAACTGGGAAGTGGAAAATCATGTCTGCACGTGGAGTGTGGTTAGAATGTGGAATTTTCTAATCAGAAATTATTGTCAATGCAGGGCCTGTAAATTCCTCTAAAGAGGATTGGAGGCATGAGGAAACGGGGGTTTGGAGCTGAGTTATACACTAGCACATTTAATCCTGTTTCTTTTTATTCATTCATTCACGGGACGAGGGCATCGCTGGCTAAGCAGCATTTATTGCCCACCCGTAATTGCCCAGAAGGCAGTTAAGAGTCAACCACATTGCTGTAGGTCTGGAGTCACGTGTAGGCCAGACCAGGTAAGGATGGCAGTTTCCTTTCCTACAGAACATTAGTGAACCAGATGGATTTTTCCAACAATCGACAATGGATTCACAGTTATGATTAGACTCTTAATTCCAGATATTTATTGAATTCAAATTCCACCATCTGCCGTGGTGGGATTTGAATCTGGGTCCTCAGAATGTTATCTGGGTTTCTGGTTTAACAGTCCAGCAGTAATACCACTAGGCCATCACCGCCCCTGTAATAATCTCTGTATCAGGTTGATACGGGTAAAGCTTCTATTTTCCACTTTATAAATACGTTGCTGTTTAATCTATGAGGTAAGCACTTTTCTGATCTTTTTGAATCTCTCATGCAGGATATTATCTACTGCAGGGAAGTATTTGTCTGAGTCATACAGTCCACACAGTCTGGCTGGTATACAAGAAACAAGCTTCCCCGACAAAAAAACCTCCATCAAAAATCCATGGCAGGAATATAATTATTTACTGAAGGCAAATCCGAGTGAATACGCCAGTCTGATGGAAATGCTTTATATGCTGAAGGTAAGATTCCATTCCTTACTGCAGAACAGATGAGAAAACTGGGAGGAGGTGCAGGAAGTCAAGTCTTTCAGAAAGATATATAACAATCCCTGTGGATATGGGCTAAAGTTGATTCTTTCTCCTGTGTAGGAAAAGGGAACGGGGAACAATAACCTGTTGTCAGAAGCTCGTGCAGCACTGACCCGGCTCAACCAGCAGGCACATCAGCTCGCCTTTGACTCTGTGTTCCTCCGGATCAAGCAGCAGCTTGCCCAGGTGCCAAGGATGGAGGTAAAGTGAGAGTGAAAGATTGGTTGTTCAGCTCCTTGGAACTTATTCCTCTCTCCGCTGCAAGATGGCTAGAAACGATGGGAATTGAGGAGGGTGAGGAACTGTGATTGTGATGGGTGAGCAACTGTGGTGGTGACGGAGCGCAGCTTTGTTGTGGAAATGACTGCCAATGAAGTGAAGTAGCTTGAGTATATCTGTTTATGTTGGTGTCATAATTATTCTGGTTTACACCTAATTTTCTGTTACTTTTCACATTTACATTTGCTTTTTGTCTTTTCTTCTCCCTCAATTGAAAAGACCTGGAACACAGGAACCATGGGAGAGACATTAACTGAAGATCTCCCAACATTTAGCCTTGCTCCTCTTGAATACATCAGCAATGTAAGTGCCGTGTTTCTGTGAGAATCAGTTTTTTTCAATAACTAGTAGATCTGTTTTCCTCTAGTTTCTGCACTTAATCTGACCAAGTGAGTCTTCACATTAAAATACCTTCAACTACCTAGCTTTGGCTGACAAGGCCAGCATTTATTACCCACTTTTGAACAGTCATGAGAAGGTGGCGAGCAACTGTCGTGAACTGTTGCAGTGCATGTGGAGAAGATACTCATACTGTGATATTATTTAGGCATTACCAGAATTTTTAACCCAGTGACAATGAAAGCATGGCCTCCATATTTCCAAGACAGGATGGTATGTGACACTTAGAGGGGAACCTAGAAGTAATGGTGTTCCCATGCACTTGACCCTCTTGACCTAAATTATGGAGATTGCTAGTTTGGGAAGCGCTGTTGAAAAAGCCTTAGCATATTACTTCCATGTATCCTGTAGATGGTGCCCTTTGGAAATTGAGCTCTGAAGGGAATGGCAAGGTCTGTGTTTCTTCTGGATTGAAGTGATAATTACCATATTTTTGGAAGGATGGGATTGCTCTGGAGGGCTTGCAAAGGAGATTCACCAAGATGTTGCTTAGGATGGAGTATTTTAGCTGTGAAGAGAGGCTGGATAACCTTGGGTTATTTTCTTTGGAACAGAGAAGGTTGAGGGGTGATCTGATAGAAGTGTATGATATTATGGGCAGGGTGAATAGAAAACGGCTATTGCCCTTAGTCGATGGGCCAATAACAATGGGGCATAATTTTAAAGTGTAAGGCAGGGGGTTTAGATGGGATTTGAGGAAAAGCTTTTACTCAAATATCCTCTGTTTTTCCTCCCCTCTGCAACTCCTCTTTCCCATCTCCAGTTTGTATTTCTCCTCTTCTTCCCTATCTCACTCTCTTCCCCCCCACCTTTCCCTCCACGACACACTCTCCCGATCTTCGGAAGTCACTTTCTCACCTACCCTATCCTCCAAAGTCCATAACTTCCCTCTGTAGCTTTCCCTCCTCTCTGAAACTCTTCTCTCCTCCACCTCAACACTTAACTTTCTCACAGTTATCGCTACTTCTGAGTTGTGTAAATTTTTAAATTGCCTTGTACACTAAGATCTAGGTCAGTAATACACATCAGGAAGAACAGAAATCCAAACATCAATCCCTGGGTAACTCCACGATAAACCTTCTGCAAAACAACAATTATCCACAACTCTGTTTCCTGTCACTTGGTCATTTTTGCATTCATGTTGTTGTTATCCGTTTTATTCCATGAGCTCTCACTTTTCCCAGACGCCTGTTGTGCAGCTCTGTGTCAAATACCTTTTGGTCACCATATCAGCTACATTGCCCTGATCAAACCCACTGTTATTTCATCAAAAAAAAACCCAAGTAAGTTTCTCTATTAACTTGCACTTGCCTAAGTGAGTATTGATTTTTATCCTAATTTGTCCAGCACAGTAGCTCAGTGGTTAGCACTGCTGCCTCAGTGCGAGGGACCTGTGTTCAATTCCAGCCTCGGGTGACTGTTTGTGTGGAGTTGGCACATTCTCCCTGTGTCTGCATGGATTTCCACCAGGTGCACTGGTTTCCTCCCATACCACATCGGTGGATTAGCCGTGGGAAATTGTCCATAGTGTCCAGGGATGTGTAGATTAGGTGGATTAGCCATGGTAAATGTGGAGTTATGGGGATAGGGTCAGGGCTGGGAATGGGTGGGGTACCTCTTTTTTTTTTTGGTGAGGGCTGGATCAGTGCAGACTCCTTGGGCTGAATGGCCTCCTTCCACACTGTAGGGAGTCCATGACAATAATATCCTAAAAGCCTCTTTATTCATTGTCTTATCACTGCTGGGTTTATGAATCTCACTGCTTGCTATTGCACTCTGTTGTCTACAGATTGGCCAGTACATCATGTCCTTGCCTCTGCACCTGGAGCCCTTTGTAACACAGGAGGATCCAGCACTGGAGCTAGCACTGCATTCCGGGAAACTTCCATACCCTCCAGAGCAAGGTAAGTTGAGGGGACCATTCAAAGTAGGCCTTGTGCATTGTGGAAGGGAGTGGAGATGAATGAATGAGGCCGTGTTGTTTACCTGTGTGAGAAGACAAAGAAAGAAATTAAATGCCAGAAAATGAAATTTAAAACTAGACATTAAGGAGCTGAAGTTTCTTTTTAGGCTATGGGTGAGTGGGTACCTGTTAGTATCTGTAACTGGGCCGATTGATTAATTCGTAAATGCAGAATGATGGGTGATCTCAATGAAATATAAAAGATCCTGAGGGAACTTGATAAGTTGGGCAGAGTCCGACTAAGTTACGTGCTTCTCTCTTTGATGTTAACAGCTCAATAATGGAGTAAAGTTATCAGAATGAAACTGGACTTGGAGGGTTAAATTGTGAAGTCAAATTGCCTAAATGTGGCTTTTGTTTCCTTGAATATCAAAATGGTAAACTAAATTAATGGGTGGAAAAAAGATAAACTATCTCATCTAGTTGGGGAATTAAGAACAAGTAAAGCAAGTGCTTAAAATTAGAGCCAGGCCATTCAGGAGTGATAAAGGCAAAATCCTGCGATGCTGGAAATCTGAAAAAGCCATAGAGAATGCTAGGGAAGTTCAGCAGGTTGACAGCTTCTGTGGAGAGTAGAATTAACATTTTGAGTCTGGTATGATTCTTCTTCAGAACTGAAATCAGGACTGATGTCAGGAAGTACATCTTCCTACAAAGGTTAATAGAAATCTGGAATTTTCTCTCACAAAAGTGAGATGCTGTGGAACAATTGGGACTTCGAAAGTGGAACTGGATAGATGTTTTGAGTAACAGACAGTTTGCAACCTTGGTACTCTATTTGACCCTGAGATGAGTTTCCAACCACTCATTTGTGTCATTACTGAAACACATATTTCTACCTTTTACATCTGAATCTGCCCCGTCTCAGCTCAACTATTGCTGAAATTATCATCCATGGCCTTGCTAACTCTAGACTTCCTCAGTGCTTTCTGGGATGCTTGATGCAGGACAGGATGTATGTTGTTCGACAACTTCTAGACAAGTTGAGATTAATGGAAGACAGTGACAGAAGGTGCGTGGATATTTAATTTGTGTTAATTTAGAGATGGGATTTGACACTTGTATGTAATTTCACCTGCTTGTAATTTCTATTAGGGGATGAGTTACCAGAGTTGGACAACATGGCTGATTATTGGCTGGGCTCCATTGCCAGGGCAACAATGCATACTTACTGTGAATCCATTCTACAGATCCCAGAGCTTACACCACATGCAACCAAACAACTTGCCACAGATATTGGTAAGTGAAAGATATACAAGGAAGAAACTCATGTTTTATTGGTACTCCTATGGTCAGTGGTGGAATGATACAGTATAGAAGGAGGCTATGTGGTACATCATGCCAGTACCAGGCCATTTTGGAACTGCTGTTCAATTAGTGTCATGTACTACACTCTATAGCCCTGCAAAGCCAAATTTCACTGCATTTACATTTCTCATTTCTTCTTATCAGCAAATATTTCAATCCTAAACGCTCTTTTTCCTTGGCCTCAATATGTCCTAACAGTATTGAGGGATACTCTAACATAACCGTTATGCTTTTGGGCTAGTAATCCAGTAACCTGGACTAATGATCCAAAAAAATGATTTCAAATACTACCACAGTGTAAGGAAATTTAAATTCAGTTATTTGGATATAATTCTGAATAAAAATCGAGAGGGATAGACTCTCTGGAGCAGAGGAGACTGAGGAGTCAGATGATTGATACGTATAAAATTATGAGGGCATATACATGGTAAACTTGAAGGAACTTTTCCCCTTCATGGAAGGAGTAATGACCAGGGGACATAGATTTAAGGTAAGCAGCAGGAGGTTTAGAGGAATCCGAGGAAAACAAGGTTCACTTAGAGGGTGGTGAGAATCTGGAACTCACTGCCTGTAAGGGAGGTAAAGGCAAAATGTTTAACATTTATAATATTTAAGGAGTTATGGATGTACACTTGTGATACCAAGTCATACAAGCTATGGGCCAATTACAGAAGAATGGGATTAGAAGAGTTTTTTTTTTTATTGTATGTGGTTGTTTTTGACCAGTGCAGACTTGATGGACTAAAGGTCCTTTTCTGTGCTGTAACCTCTATGACTATGAAAATGGTAATAGTCATGACGAAACTACTGAACTGAAAACACCTTTGACTTGCTAATGCTGTTTAGGGAGTGTTTAGACTGTATGTGACTCCATCATGACAACAATGTAGTCGACTCTTAACTGCCCTCTGAAATAGCCTAGCAAGCTACTCAGTTGTACTCCCAGGAATGGGTAATAATTGCTGTTGTCTACCAGTGATGCCCATACCCTGTGAATATAATAGAAATTTTACCCAAGACCTGAATTCTTGAGGTGCTTGAATTCTCTCCAATTCTTAAATGCCATAAGCTTTAAAAACTCAAGGTTAATGCAACCTAAACAAAGAAGAAGTCACCTTCTCTCCTGTTTTTCAACTCTGATTCTGTCTTGTGAAGGGTGTGATCAACATTAATTTTTTTTTGGTGAGTTTGGTGATGAAGTTCATTTTTATAAAGAAATGTTGCATTTCTTCTGTTCCAGATTATCTGAGCAACGTCATGGATGCTCTTGGCTTACAGCCATCCCGCACTCTGCAACACACTGTGACTACCCTGAAAGTAAAGCCCGAAGACTTTAGGCAAGCAGCGAAGGGCCTCCCCCGGAGACTGACCAGTGCAATCGCAACCATGAGGAATATCCATTACTGACCAATCTTCCTGTTCGCAAAACCAGATCTGTTTCTGATGGTTGAAGGCTGCCTTAATTCTGATTGGCTCTTGAACCGGTAGCTGAGTGTGTTCCATTTTCCTGTTAAGAGCAATAACTTCATGCTTAGGATGTGCTGTTTTAGAATAATTTAAGTAAGGATCTTCTGCTGGATTTAGGCTCAGAATGTATGTCCCGGGTTTGGGCCTGACTTAAGGTAAATAAACTGAGGTTGGTGATTTGAATGCTGCAAGTAGCTCAGTAACAATGTGTTAGTGAGTGAGAAATTAACTGAGCCCCTACCCCACCACTTTGGTTACTTTCCAGAATCCTCCTCCCCAAGAAACCATAGCTACCTGCCCCAATCCTGGGAGAATGGGATCAGGACCGACTTGGTGGTCTGCTGATGCTCTCCTTTCAGCCCTCGTAATTATAAATGATCTGTTGACGTGCCCCCAGCACCACACCGACATTCTCCTGGAACAGATGCAGGACGATGGGAAATACCTGGATATTGAATGTATGTTCTGGAGAGGAGGGTATTTTGGTAATTGAGTATGGCATCATGTTAAGATGCTGCCTTAAACACGAGTGCTGCCTCCTCCCAGCCTGATTCAGCCTGAGTCACCTTACTTATTAAGAATTGCCTCAGAGCAGAGACAAACAAAGAAATTACAGAGGTCCATGTCATGGTCCACTGCCTTCCCATCTAGGCTGGTTACTTGGCTGTTTTCACCAGGCAGTACAGGAAGATTCCACACCCTCCATGCAGCAGCACGCCCATATGGCTGTGTGGGGAGTTACATACAACGTTCAAGTGTGAGTCAAAATTGTTCATGGTTGATGTTTGTGATCATAAAGGGGTGGAAGCCCTGCGTTTTATTTTAACATTTTATGTTCGCATCAAGAAGGTGAATGTCATTTGATGAAATGGATGGTATAGGGTTGTATTGGTATAATAGGTTGGTATAATGGACCATTGGTTTCAATGGTTCCTTCAACTTCTGGCATAAAGTATAAGAGAGCTTGTTTGTCAGTTGTCATTACTCATTTGTAATCCGTGAGTGCATGCCTGGCTCTTGTACCCACACACTTTCTTGCATACTCTCTCACTTAATTCCATCTTCCTTGCTCCCTTGTTTGCTCACTGACTGTCTCCTCCCTCACTTATTCACATTAACAACAAAATTGCTTTGCCTCCCTAACTCACATTCATTCCCACTCTTTGCCTCTCCCTCATACAAGCTTTGTTTCCTTTAATCCCAGCTGTTAGAGAATGGCACCTGAGATAAGGCTGCATCATTTTACAGTATTCTTACATTCTTTTCACCTCTTGGCCTATATCTGTTCTGAGAGTGCTAGGACAGTGTAGAAAGACCTGTTGTTAGATAGTCATTGCAAGAAATGAAGGCTGTACCTCTGTTTTGTACTTTTTATTTAACCTTCACCAGATTTTTGTTCCCACCTGTCATAAAGTGTTGCCTGTTTACTGGTATAAATGCCTGGTGGGTTCCAGTCTTTGGTCTGTTGCCTGATTCTGGACAGTCTATGGCAAAAGCCTGTGCAGCTGTTCCCAAACAACATCCACATGTGGATGTTCTACAGAGGATGCTGGAAAGAGGTCAGGACCTGGAAGCTAGTTGATCCTCTGTCCATCCGTAGTTAACTGTTTGTATGTGGTGATGACCATGTAAGCTGCTGCTCATTGAGCAACACAGGAAATATTCTCACTCTCAGTAACTGAATAATGAATAGCTTTTTCCTCAATAATTCATTTCTCTGTTAACCTGCAGAGAATAATGCTGCAGAAAATTATGTGGTTTGGCCTATTGCACAAGATCCAAGAAATAGAGATTTCTAATTATTTCCACTCCCCTGCTCTTACCCATAGCCTTGAAAATATTTCCCTCTTATGCATTGGATTAATTCCTCTTTTAAATGTTAACAACATTTCTGCTCTCACTGTCCTTACAGGCTATGCATTCCAGATCATACTCACACTGTACAAAACAATACTCATCTCCCTCAGGTTCCTTGGCCAGTTATCTTATTCTTAAATCTGTTTCCTCTAGTAACTAACCCTTCTGTCAGTAGAGCCAATTGTAAATACATTAGATAGCCTACTCACCTTCAAATCCAGCCTGGCTGCAAACAGTTCTTCAGAGCCTTGCAGGCAGGGTTTTTGTCAAAATGACTCTTTGAGTGACTGATAAGCAATCATAGATAATAGACTGGGTGGGCCTCTATACACATTATAATTACACCTTTCCTCCTCTTGCATGGCCCCACTGTCAGTTCACAGACACAGAACCATCACACTGGCCAGGTAGATCCTGGTCACATCTGTACTCTGTCTACTTCAGTGCAGTTCACTTATTTAAGTGTTTGTTTATGATAGTTTTCCTTCTGCCTCTGCTTGAAGGCAGGGAGGACAAATTTTCATTTTTTTTAAAGTAATCATCTCCTTCAGGTTGAACAACAGCAAAAGAGAAACTTGGAAATGGAAAGACAGACAAATACTTTGCCTTAACAGTCAGAAGAGTTTCAACTATCCAACATAACTTCATTTACCTAGCTAGTGCCACCATAGTAACAATGGGCTAAATTAGTACCCCCTGCACAGCAAATCCCATGATTACTCTGAATTTATTCTCAGGATGTGATGTCTCTCTAACAAGGCCAGCATTTCTTGCCCATTTTGAGAGGGTGATTCGATGTAACTAAGACATCTTTTTCCTCTGTTTTGAACCCATGTGGTACCTGGCCTGTGGTGTGTTAAGTGGGAGAAAAGTATAAGGGAAGTTGTACTCGAATCTAAATTGGACTTAATTTTGAAAGTTTGCTGGTTTTGTACGCTGCACATGACAATTGCCCTATTTCCCAGCAGCAATTAAGTTCATTTTTTAAAGACTGAATGAAAGACAAATAATTTTATTCTGCCTGAGAGTGTGGTAAAAGCAGTTTTGATCAATGCATTCAAAAGGAAGTTGGACTATCATTATAAAAGAAACGGAATGCAGGGTTATGAAGTGAAGACTGAAGAATGGTGGTAAGTGAAATGCTTATTTGGAGAGCTGTTGCAGACAAGATGGGTTGAATGGCACTGTCTAGTAATTTTGTATTTGAGTTTTCAGGATTTGAGTTGATGTTATCTGCTCCCAGGCCTTTGCTCCAAACAAACTCTTGTCATTACTTCTTTCTGCCCTGTTCCAGATCAGAAGCATTCACAATCATTGTTCTGTTGCAGTGTCATGGCATTCTGTAGTTTTTCCATAAATATCAAGAAACAAAGCCATTAAATTATTAATCAAGGTCTTGTTTCCATTCTTGGAAAGTGGGACAGGCAACTGATAGACTAGGGATCTGCTGGAAGTTATGTCCTATTCCCAGCCTTATAAGTGACTCTTCTTTAAGTTGCCATTTTACTCTTTATTTACTGAGTCTGCATATGCTTGATGAAGAGCAGATGCTATCTGCTATCTATTACTTTGCTGATGCATCTATGATATACTGACCTAGATTCTGTTGGTAAGCCCAGTAGCCCTTCTTCTGATATTCCCCTTCTTCCTACAAATGTGCGCACATGCATGCACATTTACACAGCATGAGTAGCCGCTTAATGGCCATCAACTGATTTCCCTTCTCATTCATAGGTATCTTAAAGCTGCTTATAGCATCTCTCAACCTGACTGTGATCAGCTAACTCAGCCCAGAGCATGGACTGTTCCTTTACTGCCTGAAAGATTATTAAACCTGTTATAATTTCATTGGCCTTGATTGTAGTCCTTTCTTGGTGTTGAACTACAAATTTGTATATGGTTAAGGTCAGCAATGCAGTTATTGATCTCTCCCGCGAACGTATCCATTGTAGAGTGAACACGACAGTCAAATACAGCATGTGGGACTGGACTTCCAAATGAGCTCAGCTGAAAGGAAAAGGGGCTCTACGTAGCCAAAAGGGCATTAGTCAATCAATTTAAACCTTAACGACAATCAGGTATTTCGCAGGCTCTCTGTCTGTGCTGCCAGCAACTAGCTACAAGAATTAAACTTATTGCCCTGTCCAACTGGTGCATTATAGTAATAGTTTCAGTGTTTCTAGTAGTTCCATGGTTGTTGATGCTTCCATCAAACTTATGGCTAAGAGTTGTCTCAGAAATGTTGATACTCACAAGATGCACACTGCTCAAATTCTGGAATACTGATTTATTTTCACATTTTACAACAGCATATTTATAACTTGTTTTTGTTTCAAAGCAAGTGATCTTTAACAAGTCCTTATTTTTAAAATTAGACTTGGTTGCTGTTCAATCCAACACAAGCATGTTCGTGGCTAAATATTTCAAACAACAAAAGTCAAAACTTTCTGTACTCAGTAGCGTAAGTCATGGTTCAGTGGGTAACATCTTGCCTCTGAGGCAGAAGATTGTAGATTCATATTCCACTCGAGAGACTTGAATCCATAATCCAGAAGGATACTCCCAGTGTGGGGCTGGGAAGAATACTGCAACTTTCAGATGAGGCATTCATCCAAATCCCATCTCTTCTCTTCAAGCAATGTTCTTCTTGTATCCTGACTAATACTTTTTTTCCTCAATCATAACCTATTTATTTATTTTGGTGATGTTTGTGAGATCATGCTGTGTGTTCAAAAGTATTTAATTGTGAAAAAATTCTGGACATCCTGAGGTCATGAGTAGTGCAAGTTCTTTCTTTACAAATTGCAATATGTGATTGTGAGTGCATTTTTTGGGGGGTAGAGGTGAGCTCTGTGGATTGTGCTACCAAGTCCTTGCGCATGTGAGGCAGCAGTGATGGTTTTCCTTAAGCTTGCTCCTCCACCTCTGGAATGTGGCGCAAAAGATCCATTAATTTTCATCACAATCCCAAGTTATCCTGCGCTGGGGGATCGGGTAGATGCGTAGAGAGTCGTACTGAGGAGGGGGTGTCCCTGGAATCACCAAGGTACATGGTCTTTCTATATGGGCTTCAGCTTGGTCTGGTTCAAACCCAGCGTTGGTGTGGTCTTCAACTGACTGGGTTACGGTTGGTGGTGGGTCAGAGCAGTGAATCTGAGCTCGACGTGACCTACGATATGCACACCACTTCACCACCTTGATGACAGTGATCCAAAGGCAATCGATCAGGATCTCAATCAGTTCAATGATACAGAGTATGGAGCCACCCATCCAGAATCCAAACTGGCCGCCGAGTTTGGATAGTAGCCAATCTATCTGAAAAGACAGAAATAGTTGGAAAACATTTATTTTACAGTATAAATATATACATGTGAATGGGAGTGAGGTGGTATTGCAATGATGTCACTATACTGGTAATCTAGAGGCCCAGGCAAAAGCTCTGGCAACACAGGTTCAAATTCCATCTGAGTCCACAGCTGCCAGTGGAATTTAAATTCAGTTTGTTAATAAGTCTAGAATTAAATAGTTGATTGGCATAAAAACCCCAACTGGCTCTCCCATGTTTCAGAGGATAGGAAACCTGCTATTCCCCAGTCTGATCTAGATGTGACTCCATACACTCAGCAGTGTTGATGGCCCTTAAATTGGAATGCTGCAACATCCTTCTTATGCCAAAATTGGGAGAGTTGTCTAATAGACTAAACAACAGTGTTATATGATCAAACTTTATAAATTATACCTTGCAGTCATTGTCCTAGATTGCTCTGGCTATCTTCAACATTAATTCAACATTGTTTGCAATGTTTTGTGGCATCAGATCAAACGTGAGCAAGGAAACCTTTTCTTTACCACATATCATTCCCCCACCGACTTGGCTAATGAATCGGACCTCTTCCACGTTGAACACTCTTTAGTGGAAGAACTGAGATGGCAAGGGCACTGAATATACACTGTGGGACACTTCATTGTTCATCACCAAGAGCGGCTTGGCAGCATCACACTGACCAAGCTAATTGAATTCTGAAGGTGGTAAGGGAACCAATAAAAAGGGAAAAACATGCTTGGCCTCATCTTCAACAATCTACCTGGCATAGATGCATCTGTCAATGACAGCATAGGAGTAACTATTGGACAGTCGTTGTGAAGACAAGTCTCATCTTCACAACAAGAATACCTTCATCATGTTGTGTGACACTACCACTGTGTTAATTGGGATAGATTTCAAACAAATCTAGGGCTCAAAACTGAGCATCCATGAAGCTGTGAACCATCAGCAGAAACAGAATTGTACATAAAAATAATCTGCAATTTCATGGCTCGGTAACTTTCCTACTCCACCATTACCAACAAGACAGCAGGTCAACACTGGTTCAATGAAAAGTGCAGGAGGGCTTCCCAGGAGCAGCACCAGACACACCTAAAAATGAGGTGTCAGTCTTGCAGAGCTACAACACAGGACTACTTGTGTGCCAAACAGCATAAGCAGTGAGTGATAGAGATATGTGATTCCACAATAACAGATAAGATCTTAGCTCTGCAGCCCTGCCACATCCAGGCGTGAACGGTGGTAGGCAATTAATCAGCTCAATGGAGGAGGGGCTCCACAAATATCTCCATCCTCAATGATGAGGGAACCCAGCAAGTCAGTGGAAAAGATAAGGCTAAGCATTTGCAACAAGCTTCAGTTAGAAGTGTCAAGAGGAAAATTCATCTTGGCCTCCTCTGGAGTCCCCAGCATCACAGATGTCAGTCTTCAGCTAATTTGATTCACTCAACCCGGTATCAAAAAATAGTTAAATGCTAAAGGCTACAAGCCCTGACAATATTAAATAGTACTGAAGACTTGTGCTTCAGAACTTACTCCCTGGCCAAGCTGTTTCAGTACAACTACAACATTGGCATGTACTTGACAAAGTGAAAAATTACCCAGGTAAGTAGTTGCATAAAAAGTAGGACAAATCCAACCTGGACATTTACTATGCAATCAGTCTACTCAATCATTAATAAAGTGTTGGAAAAGATCATCAACAGTGTTATCAATGTTTTGCAGTAATCTGCTCACTGACACTCAGTTTGGATTCTTCTGGGTCCATTCAGCTCTGAACCCCATTACTATCTTGACGAAGGAACTGAACTCCAGAGGTGAGGTGAGAAGGATTGGCCTCAAGGCCACATTTGACTCTGTGTAGTAGCAAAGGGCCCTAGCATATCTGATAAGTATGAACTGACATTTGTGCTGCACTCAAGTATTCACTCCCTCCACCATTGGTGTACAGTGGCAACAGTGTGTATCATCCACAAGCTGCACTAGTTATTCACCAAGCCTCTTTCGACAGTACCTTTCAAACCTATATTTTTTTTCCTAGAAGGACAAAGGTAGCCAATGCGTGGAAATTATCCCCATTCATAAATCTCCTTCCAAGCCACACCATTCTAACTTAGAATCATATTGCCATTCATTCATAGGGTCAAAATCGTGCAACTCTCTTCCAAATAGAGTCAGAAGTTGCAGGACACCAAGTTATAGTCCAGCAGGTTTATTTAAAATCACAAGCTTTTGGACCACTGCTCCTTCATCACAGGCATCTCTACATCATGTCTTCCAAATAGCATTGTGGATGTACCTACACTACGTGGACTAGTAGTTCAAGAAAATGCTTACCAATTACCTTCTCCAGGCCAACTGGGGAAGGCAACAAATGTTGACCAAGCTGGAAATGCCCATATCCCATGAAGTAATAAATTAAAAATGGGCAGTTGGACCCAATGTATAATCTTTCATATCATGGACAGTATGTAATTTCTTCCATCCCTGAGTAAAAGGGGTACTATTCATTCCAGTCTGATACTGCTGTGTTTTGTGTGGCAGTGTTCAGTACTGTGCATCCAACATATGCCTCAGCTGCAAAGGTTTGATGAAGCCCGGTGATACCTTTGGGAGAATGAAGATTGAAGAGTGCCTTTTGAAACTTACTGTTAGAGCAGGGTCCTCCTGAATTGTCCTATAATTAATCTCTTGGAAGTAAAAGTTTAATTTCAGGATGTTTCTCCTGTAAAACATTTCAGTTCATGATTAAATACTGTTTCACATTTTATTCTTAGAAATAGTCTGCTCACTTACAGGTAACAACATTTGTACTGTTCAACTCCTTATCTTTCCAATTCTATTATCTTCATTTTCCTATCACTAATTTTAAAGATTATGCCTCCTTATTCTGGAATCTGTCCCACCCAGAGGAAATAGTTTCTCTTTACCTATATTTTGTGTCATTTAATCTTTATATATTCCTAAATTGGACAACCCTCAACCTTCTAAATCCAAGGCAACACCTTAGCTATTATTTTTTTGTTTGATGCTGTCCTGCAAAATGTATTGAGGTATTTTCCACATTAAGTAACTATAGAAATGCAGGTTATTCTCAAAAACCCTAACTTGTACTTCAAAACATGCATTCCCACTCTGCCTGCTACCCGCAGTCAGAGAGTCATACAGCAGGGAAACAAATACTTTGGTCCAACCAGTCCGTGCCGAACACGTTCTCAAACTAAACTAGTTCCACCTGCCTGCCCGTATCCCTCCAAACATTTCTTATTCATGAACTTATCAAATTGTCTTTTAAACGTTGTAACTGTACCTGCATCCCCCACTTCTGGAAGTTCATCCCACACATAAACTACTCACTGTGTAAAAACAAAAAATGCCCCCATGTCCTTTTTAAATCTTTCTCCTCTCACCTTAAAAATATGCCCCCTAGTCTTGAAATCCCCCACTCTAAGGAAAAGACACCCGCCATTCACTTTACCTGTATCCTTCATAATTTTATAAACATCTATAAGGTCACCCCTGA